ATATATATATATATATGACTTCTCTCCAAAGAAGTATTGGATACGCTTTCGACCTTTTTGCGGGCCACTTTGAACTTGAGTGATGCCAGCTCCACCCGTTCCAAAAGGCACCCCTTGGGACCCGCATGCGTGAATTGGCGCAACTGCATGGTAGGAATTGGTTGGAGGTATACTTGCGAACGGGATCGGGAGAGGTGATTGAGCCTGTTCACTTTGTCCCGGTGTAAATGATTGATTCAATGCTTGACTGCATCATAGACAGAGGAGCCCTTTTGCAACCGACGGCCTGTGTGCCATAGTTTAGTCTTATATACACGTGTTGCATGTGTTTAGAAGCGTTTAGAAGGGCGCCACTAAGGGCGCCCTATGGCAAACTTAAGTTGTTAAGCTGGCGCTCGCTGCCAGGCAAGTGCATGTGACTTATCCTTTCGTCACCCATGGCTGTGCCCGGGCGGGGGTGTTGACACCTTCGCCTTTGCGGCCTGCACATGTGATGAGCTTCTTGGACGTGTCCGAGGACGGGAAGTTGTCTAAAAGACTAAAAGAGTCTGCCACAAAGCTGTCCTGCTGTCAGAAGGATTCATTTCAGTCCTTGCTGAGCATTGGTGTAGACTAGGTTTCTTTCCATGACCTCATCAAGTTAGCCTGGAGTTGGTCAATGCTTGCAATTGACCAGTGAATGCCAGAGATTCATTTAAATACACTTCTCGTGGCTTTGGTTGCTAGAGGATGTGCAAGACTTCCACGCTTAACTGGTACAGCATTATATGAGTAGTTCCTTGAATGGCCTGCGAAGGTATCGTTGTCTCTCTCTCTCTCTCTCTCTCGCGCATCCTTTCTGTATATGTACGTTACTTATACGTATAAAGTTGACTTGTTCGATGAGGGAAAACACTCATACCAACACCGAAGCTCCCTTTGGAGCATATCGCAGGCTGCGTTGTTTTTCTCTTGGCAACCCATGCCAACGCCATTACAGAATCGGTTTACAGTTCGCCAGTTAGGCTCAGTTAGACGACGCCTGGCCATGCAAAATGGACCACATCTTCAAAAGGGGTCTATTGACAAGTGGGTTGTAATCAATTACGGTGTGGTGCGTCAAGACGCACCAAGTCCTGCTTCCCTCCAAGTTCCAATCGCAGAGGACAACACCCTTGTGCTTTCCGCAGAGCCAAACGCGAGCTGGTGGATTGATGCTTCATCCGAACACCTCCGCGTGAGTTCAAAGCTGTATCCACACACTGAGTGGTGCATTTGTGCGGACCAACCTCAGTTGTACGTATGCAAGTGCGGTGCGATGCATATTAAACAGAGGTACTTGGTGGTCAATCGAGGATTGCTTCAAGGATACGATGGCTTGAAGTGCCTTCAAGCAGATCAGACCTTGAACTTTGAAAGGTGCCCTGCGGGCTCACGTGAGAAGCGACTCAGACGGCAAGCTGACTGTAAAGGTTGGCACATCATGTAATCCCGAGTGCCTATTTTTAAATAAACCATCACTACCCAATTTCAAACAGGCATGCCGGACACTCCTGAATGCAGTTTTCCTGGTTCTTTCAAGTGCACCCTTTACTTTCTCTAAACTGCACCCACAGCACGGCCATACTGGGGGTGAGTTGTTTGTATTACCCCTCCTCCCACCCCTCCTTCCTGTTCGGTTGCGCAGCAGTTGAATTTGGTCGGCATGATTGCCCGTTCCTGCAAGGTTCGCTCGTAACAGGCTTTTCTCGACCTGTCAGGTGAGGATCTTCAGATTTCATGTCAGTGTTATCTAATATTGTTGACTCCTCCTTTTGCTTTCCTCCTCCCTGAGCTCCACCAATTCTTCATCCTGTTTGATCCTCCATGGTTCTTCCACACCGCTGTGCCGCGCTGGACTGGACTCTATGGTCCTCCACAGGATATGTCAGACCACATGTCAGGACACATGCAATACGCCAAGACCTTTTATGAGTATCCGACAAAACTTCCGTGCGCGTAGTTTAGTGGGTTAGCTTGGAAAGAAGCACGAAAGCATGTGAGCAAGGGATTGGCGCGCAAGGGAAATTCAACGTTAAGGCAACTGTCCAGCAGCTGCAAAAACTGATTTGCCAAATGCTGTCGGAATTTGGGTTGGCTTGCCCCCTTGCACACCCAACTCGCCAGATGTTTGCCGAAAGTGCTTCTGAAAACCTTTTAGCTGAAGTTCTAGGAATGTGTTTCAGCCATGTTTGTGACGCCATGATTTATTGGAAGAACAAATGTTGCACCGGCATGGGCCCCAGAGAGCAAAAAAATCAATCGGAAGCATGTTTGATCCTTTTAACCCACCGACCCATGAGACAAATTGAGACATGTAAGGAGACAAGTGGGCCGACAAGGCAGCAGCGGCACAGCAGCCGCACACAGCAGCGGCGAACCAAAGCAGAATACAGACACCCAGTCATTGAGAACTAAGAACCCCTACAGCTGTCGCTATCCGAGGAATCAAACTGTTTGGAAGCAGCATGGGCTGCGTAACCTATTCCAAAGCCTGTTGCGCATGTGCTCATTCTAAGATGGGGACCAACTCAAAATACTTTGGGCACTGCGGCAACAAAGAAGTTTTGTCGGCCACTCGTATGAGATCGCCTGATATGTCAGAACACATCCGAGAACAAATGTCAGATTTCGTTCATTGTGTCAGACCACGCGTCAGAACTTTCGCCAGTAGAAACGTCAGAACACATGCCCGATCCGATGTCAGAACAAAGGAAAGATTCCATGGTCAGCGAGAGCATGTCAGAACCAATGCCGGATGACATGCCAGAACATAATATGTCCGAGCACATGTCGGAACATATGCAAGATGAATGCCAGAACACACGGGTTGAAAGCTTGCGGTGTCATGGGCAGTGTTCAATTTGCAGGTTGTCAGTGGGTCAGAAGCATTCTGGGTTCCTAATGCTGGTTAGGTGAACAATGGTGCTTGCACCGGTTTAACTGAAGGAACAACAGAAGTCAGGTAAATCCTTGGCGGCGTGTCCATCCAAGGGTGTTTATGACGGCAAATGAAACGTGCAACAGTTGTTCCGGGAATGGGAAATGAGAATCCGGACTCGTTTTCCCGGTTTGCTCACAATGCAAAGAAGCAGCTAGAAGGGCAAAGCGGGATATTGCGCCGTGACACGCATGGCAGCAATGCCGGCAAGAAGGCGCACCATACTCAAATGCTGTTGAGCGATCCGAGACAAACATTGGAGCTTGAAGTCTGCGGAATGTTGGCAAGAGTTGGCGTCAACTTTTTGCGGTGGGTGTTCAGAACTAGTGTCAGAACACATGCCAGAACAAATTCGAGGTTGGCTGTTGGAACAAATGCGCAGGCTTTAACCAGTTTTTTTTACCAGAACAAATGTCCGACTACATGGTCAGAACGCATGCCAGACCACATCAGAACACGCCAGGCTTGATGCCCAAAAACGGGTCAGGGCATTTTTCGGCACAGTTTGTCAACGCATGTCTCATTCAGTTTGTCACGTTTCCTAATCAAAATTTGTGGCGGTGAACCTCGCAGTAGGGGTCTGTTTGATTGTATCACAAATGTTAATTCTGCCGCCTCCTCCTGCTCCACCTCTGCCGCTGGCTCCTTCCGTGGCTGCGAGCTCCAGGCTGTGGGGGCCACCGGCAACGCCGGAACCAGATGGACTTCCAGAAAGAGCGCAGGAAGAGATGCCAAATACATTGCCAGCATGAAAAAATATATGCTTGGCAGAAAATATTTGCAAGAAAACATGTCAGAATAAATTTCAGAGAAAATGTTTGAAAATGTCAGAATAATGTTCGAGTGTGTGTACATATATACACTGTATGTAAAGGTGCAAGATATAATGCCAATATCTATCCTGCTATGCAAGATAAACACCTTCTTGGTGATGTTACGAAAGCCAGCCGACAGGCTAGGGTGAAATTGTTTTCTACGAACGAAATGAGTCTTTAGGGGGTGTGGGGGGAGACGCGGACAAGTGCATGTAAACAAACCATGTTTGCATGCTGGTGCTTTTGCTTTGCCAAGGAGGGGAGTGTTGGTGGGTTGGTGATGCAGAAGATGCCAGGTGAATGGGTTAGTGCTTCACATGAAGTGATTTGAAGGTACTATTTAGTTTCAGCGTGTTGAATGTATGGGTGATTTCTATACTCAGGCTTGCCTTTTCGGCCTCTTTGGCCAAAACCATAGCATTTGTCCTTCTCCAGGTGTAGTAGCAGGTAGGTGTTCCTGGTGTTTGTTCCCGCTTTTCGGGTTGAAACAATGACAAAGCCGTCGGCCATCAGCAAAATACTTCATAACATAATGCAATGGTGGGGGTTACTCGAAGTAAAGCAACTAGACTGGACTTGAATGTTTGCACAGTTTTTCCTTTTAGCCAACATGAATCAACATTCCATGCCACAAGTGAACTCAGGTTTCTGTGGTACTTCGACTCCGGAAATTGCGCCTAGGATGTGGTTCGTTTGTGCGGCCTGAGGCTAGGAAATTCAATCAACCATTGACAATTTCCAGGTTTCCAGGAAACGCGACCAATGTGTTTTTTCGAGCAATACAAAAAATTCAAACGGTGGCTTTAAAACCTTACTGTCATTCAACCTGCACAAACAGAGGCCCTCGGATTGTTTGGGTTCTGCAGGGTACGGATTACGAATTTGCTGATCGCATGGTAATGTCACTAATGCACTCCACAACATCATTGTTAGGTTTTCTGTTAAAATATGTTGAAATTACACCTCCTATTTTTGAAGCGGCCCCAGGCTTCTTCGGCTTTGATCTCACCAACACGGCAGAGAAACGTTGGACAGCCACCTCGGAAGCTGAAACCTCCAAGCTCTTGCGGCTAGGGAACTTTGCCTTCAAGGACATCATAAGTCCAGACGTAGGCGGGCCGGGTCATGCGGAGTTGAGCACGGTGAAACAAATTACTGTTGGACTTGCTGTAGCGCGGTACAGACGGTTGCTCCATGCTTGCGTTCTGGTAGCTGCTGGGAAGACATGGGGGTTCTTTGACTGGCAATTTCCTCCTGCCTTTGTTTATATATCGTTTAAAGTCTGTCGCCTCCTTCGATGTTTGGATCAGACGCCGCTGGCAGTACCCCTCTTCCTTTGCCTTCCAACCAGCCGCGCGTCATGGGAAAGTCCGTTTTCGTCCCACGAGGTACGGAGCACGCACGTGCAGCAGGGTGGGGTGCGCTGATGATGGTTTGTGGAGGGTTGTGGGGAGGACAATGTTTCATATCGCTTGAAGATAGATCCCCTGTGACCATGGCACTTTGGGCATGCCTTTTCAAGATGATGTCCTGTAACATCATCCAGTTTTTTTTCCTTCTTTGGCCCCTGCTCTCAAGTCCTTTACTGTTGAACTGGTCAGCTCATTTGTTAATTCCGGTGTGTTTCAGCTCAGAGTGCAGGCCTTTTTCAGATTTACCTGGACTACGCTGAGATGAATTCTCAGCAGTGCCTCCATGCGAACATGTCAAAGCTCTTGAATCCGGGCTATGAGATGCAAATTTCGAACGATTGCCGGTCAGCTTCCAAGATGTAAGGATGGTAGGGTCAGGATGGTCAGGGCCCGGGCTCAGGGGGAGTATACCTTCTCAGTGCCAGCCTTGTAGGGGAAAACCAGCTTCGCCTCACCCTGAGGTGACACGAAGCTGGTCGAACAAAGGCGAGAGCCAGTTTTGTAGTAATACATATATATATATATATGTGTGAATATGGAGTCATATTGCATTTGGGGAAAAGGTGCTGCACCCTGTTACAACCGCAGATGTGCATTCCACATTTGTTTCACATGTCTCGATTCTCAAACGACTTCTAACGTCATTAGGAAAGACCTTGAGCCTTGAGGCCCTGTTTGGCCAGGCGAGGCCCTGGCCACTGTGTCGCTGTGCTTTCGCATTGTCTCCGGTCGCCCGACCGGTTCGTTCGGAACATCGGCCCGGCCGGTCGGCAGACCGTTTATTTGGCATCGGCTTTTTCGAGTGAACGACCATGAGAATGGATTGCTTCGGCTCGGGTTTGTTCCGCAAAGGCGCCCAAAAAGTGGTTGCCAACAATTGAACACCACACGCACATATATATATATATATATATACTACACATATACATATACATATATTTGCGTATATGGCTGGAGAAGATGGCACATCCGTCAGTCCCTTTTTCATCGGCCCTAAGCACAGACAGTGATTGAAGTCTCTCTGGAATGTGCTTCCGTCTAAGGCTTTCGTGTGGAGAGGAGCTCATTTGGTCTATTTTCACCTCTCTGACACGAAAACCAGCTACTACGTGCAGATCGACCCCGGGTCGGGAGTCTTGATCGCTACCACCAAAGCGACCCCTGATTCGATTTGAATTCAGTCAGTTCTGAGGTTGGTTGTTTTGTGGCCGAGGCCAATTTGATTTGTATCTCCAGATTGAGCACATTATCAACACTAAACCAATTAAACTCTATATTTGACAACTTTGATCCAATTTTGGTCAAAGAAAGGCACTTTGAATTTGTTTTAGTGCCTTGTTGGGCCTTGTTGGTCGCACATGTTGTTTCCCCAGGATCCCTGGAGCGGATGACAAATTCGAGATCACCTCCGAGGGGAAGTTGGTCCCTGTGAGTAAACCCACTAAGTGTCTTCAGGCGAAGAAAGACAAAGTTGAACATAGAAAAGAAACACATGACAATAAAATAGCCTTGTTCTATTTTACCTGCAGGCGAAGAAAGTTGAAACAGTGCCCCTCAGCAATGGCCTTCGAAGCCTGGTGGCCAGCCCAAGCAGCTCGCCAGAGTATAGCCCCTGCACGAGCTACGGAGAATTTTCAGGTGATGGTGAGTATTACCAGGTGTGCCGAGGAAGTCCGCTCTTGCAGCTTCAAGATACAATCGAGGCTCACTGTGAAGTGGATCCAGACGACTTCTCCCCGGTTTGCGGCGTCAGCGCACACGGGTATGTGCTGATGGACATGCGGTGGCCCTCCTCAATACCTGTGGAGAAGACCGATGACAAACTCAATGGACACTGCTCAGCCAAGTGCGCCTAATTGGGGTCTCGGAATGCTGCCATGCCGGCACCCAAGGCACAAATGATCGAGGTGAAGCTTGATGAAGCAAGCCACCTCGTGAATTTCAGCTGCCCTTCCGACTGGCTGATACAAAGCATTATTTTTTGGATCGTGGCGTTGTCAAGGTTCAATCCGTTTTGAGGTTTTGAGGCTGCTAGTCCGAAACACGCCTGAATCCAAAATCGTTTGTCCAACTGTCACACTTCTTTCCGGGGCTGCGACTGAGGACGGCAGGAATTTTGTGATGTGTGGGACAGGATGGGAAACCACGATCGCGGCAGACCCAAGCAGTCCCAGCCACGTTTCCTTCGAGGCACGCATTTTTCTGTGCAGGGCTGTACCGGTTTTGGGGGACGCAGAGAGAGGAGGAAACGACGAGGACCGTGTCATACTACTACTTCACCCTGGCAGCGTGGGAACTTCAATGTCATCAACGCATGTGTTGGTCGAAAGAGGTTCGATGATTGGGTTTGTGCTTTTGAGAGGTCCAAGCCTGGAAGCTCGCGTTGAAGGGTTTGGAACACAAAACTGATTTAACTAGATATGATATTGATGTACCCACGGACCACGAAACCTAGCAAGCAGTCTTTTCCGGCATGGCGTGCAAAAAGTCGCCTAGAGTCAGGACAGGACTACGGCCCCTGGTGATTGGGCCGGCAAACCACGGAAAGGTTGGAATCAACAACGGTCGCATCAGCTTCTTCAGAACTACAGTTCCAAGGTTTCTCTTTGATTCCAAACCTTCTCAAATCGGAACTGGTCTGGCCGTCCTTTCGGGCCTGAGCTCGACGTGCCATCTGTTCATCAGTCGGCCGGATGCTGAAACGTCCTGAGCCTATTAGCTCATACAGGGCCGCATTTGAGCCCAACACCTTCGTCAGGCTGTCAGCAGGCATAGCTAGGTGGTCCACCCACTTGACTTCTCCTCCGAGTTCTTTGAGGTCTTGCCTTATGATCTGGACTTCAATCGCCGTCCTGCGATCTTGGCCACCAGTCGAGTCTTTGGAGAGGTTGTCATAGAGGGAATTCGCGTCCACCACAGCCAGGGACTCTTTGAGCTGGTGGTCGTTGAGCGTAGAGCTCATCACCATCAGCTCTTCTCCTTCCAGCTTCTTTCGCCATGCCTTGAGGGCGAAGGTGCCATCCATCATCTCCTGGACCAGGACGTGGATCCACATGAGCTCTGCCAGTCCCCGAGACATACTCTGTGTCTCTGCTGCCAACGTTGAGTTGACTATTCTTTGCAACTTGCCGCTTCTCCATGCCAGGATGTTGGTGGTGACGGCATTCCCGTCACGGAGCTGGTTCTCGTGGGCCAGGACCAAGTGTCCGCCCTGGGAGTGAAAGCCATTGTTGGCAAAAGAGGCGTCGGTCACAACGCTGAGCCGCATCCTTTTGAGCGGCTGTATCTTCAAACTGAGGCTCGAGTGCTCTTTCAATCCGGCGACCACCTGATTGAGCTGTGTGATGTCTTCTATCGTCAATTTGGCCAGCTTGGACGCCACTAAACTCGAAGCACCAGAAGCGTCAGGCCTCCCTTCTCGACTCAGCCAGTTCAGAGCCCCACAGGTGGCTCTAGCTGCACTGATCTCTTGGTCATTGGCGGTAGCTTTCTTGTCCACCTTTCTTCCTTTTTCCAACTGCACCGGGTGCAGCCTCTCCTCGATGAACTTCTGCATGTCCACCAAAAAGCCCCCATCTGGTAGTTGGCGAACTCGTCGACCATTGAAGGCGCATCCATCTTTCGTTTGTTGAAGGTGCACGTACTTCCCAAAGGTGTACTTGGCACGGAGTTCGTCCATCTTGGCATGGTGTTCCTCGTGTCCCACGGTGAAGAGGTCGTCGACCTCCACTGCAATGGCACCCAACAACCGTTTGCGGCTCTTGTCATACAACTTCATGATACAGGGATCGAGGGCCGACATCTCATAGCCAAGTTTCTGGAGGTCTTCAATCAGAGACTTTCTCCAGTGAAGGGGAGCGTCCACCAGCCCGTAGCATCCAGCAATGATCTTCACGATTTGCTCGGGGTGCAAACCGACCACTCCTTCTCTTGGCTGCTGGAAGTATAGTTGGCCATTTGGCCGATGCAGCGGCTGGCTTTGACAGAAGGCGTTCTTCAAATCGCCCACGGTGGCCACCATGTTCTCGTTGGCGGCGACTTGCAGGAGGACGTTGAAGTTCACCGTGTTCAAGGTTGGCGAGAACCGGTCAAGCTCGAGGATGTCCGGGTCCAGGTCACCTCGGATACATAGCCGTGATTTCTTCACTGCCGGCTCTCCGGGTTGTTCGCCTGGCTTGTACCTTCTGGCTATCTTTGTTGGCAAGATGCGAGCCTCTTGTCCTTGGTCTCGGAGTTCTTGACGAATTCTTTGGGACTCCTCTAAGCCAAGCACTTCCACTGCTCCACTTTGGGTCACCTTGTTCCACTCGGAGAGGTCGGAGAGCTTCCACTCTTCTCGATCTTGTGGACTTTCTCGAGAGAGGATGACATCATCTTGTCCTTTCTTCTCAGTCGCATAGACCTTGGCCTCCTCAATGTTCTTGATGTAGAAGATCGTCTTGCCCCTCCATAGCTCTTCTCGCCACTGGTTTTGTGGATTGATCCAGCTGTCGCTTTCTATGGTGGTTGTGCCCGCTCTTCTCACATGCGTTTGTCGGTCTGTGGAGAGGAACGAGCTTGGTAGTGGACCTTCTGGACCATGTTCAGGGCTGAACTTCGTCTTCCTCTTCCTCAGGTGGTGCCTCTCCATCGTTCCGGCTTCCCAGTCGATGTGCCAGTAGTCTCTTTCTGCCCTTCTTTGCTCCAGTGCTTGGAGTTTCTGCATTCGGCCCAGGTTGGTCTCCTCGTCGATCTCCGCGTCTTCAGCTAGAAACCATTCGGATGTTCCCAGGTAGGGCGCGATGTGTGCATGTTGCCCTTGTCGTTGCTGCCAGCGGTATATGGGACCTGTCAATGGACCAGGAACTCCATCGAGTCGATTGGCTTGTTGTTCGGAGAGGCGTAGAGCTCCTTGCATGGAAGTTGCCTCGGCTCGGTGCTCCAGGCGATTTCCCCCGGTTAGGGTCGATGGCCGTGCCGGCGTCTCCGGGACTCCTTCAGGAAAGCCAGGATGATGTCGTGCTTCCTTGATGCCGGCGTCGCTGCTAGCCTTGGAGGATGGTACCTCTTCTTGTTCAGGCTCGTTCACTGACTTTCTCCTCTTTGGCACGACTTCTTCATCACCTGGTGGCTCATCATCTTCGTCCATGAGCTCCGGCGTATACTCAATCACCTCCGAGGGCTGCAGGAAGTTGGTGCGAGGGTCCTGTACTCGCTGGTCTTGTTCATCTCCTTCTCCTTCTCCTTCTTCTGGAGGTAGGTCTTCTTGGGTGATATCTTTGTAGCCTGTTCGGTGTGAGCCTCTCTTGAACTCTTCAATGAGCTCCTGACATTCTTGGAGCACAGCTTCGATCCCGGTCTTCTCGTCGGTGGTCGCATGTCGGCATTGTTCTCGGGCCACTTTCCAGAGTTCTCCAAACATGGATATCCACACATTGGCTCCGTCTGGTGCGATGACAACGCCAGGGCCCACCCAGCGTGCTTTGGTTGATGTGGCCGTGTCATCGGCAATGCCTCCACGCTTCCTTTTCTTCAGCTTTGGGACTCGGAAGACGAAGACATACTCTCCTGGCTTGTAGTCAATCCAGACCCGTGGCCTGGCCTTCATGGCCCTTTGAAGGGTTCTTTTCGCATTGTGCTCACAGAAGGCCTTGTGCGCGATGTTTCGCATGTGGTGGAGCTTCTCGATGTCGTCCGTGAGCACCCCATTCAGCAGCGTTGGGTCGATGGCTTCATCTGAAAGCACGGAGGTCGGCAGCCTTGGCCACTGCCCTATTTGCCGTTGGACTGGTGCAAAACCTGAACGGTTGGAGTACCTGTTCTTCGCCTGCTCAACCTCAGTCATGAGCTGCTTCAAGTCCTTGGTGGTTTGAATGACCACTTCGCTTCTGGCTTTGTCCAGCAATTCTTTGAAGTGGCCACCATGTCTCTCGGTTTTGCCCTGCTGCCACGGGGCCTTTGATGCGATCTGGTGCACCACGATGCCTTCATTTGCTGCCCGTTGGATGAACTCCCCCAGGAACTCTCGGCCTGCGTCACAGGTGATCACCTCGGGATGGCCAAACGTCCGAGCCCATGTAGACTGGTACGCCTCCCAGACCTCTCCGGGATGTTTTCCGGCGAGCACTTCACACATCTGGTAGTTCGTGCCCCAGTCCAGGATGTTCAGCACTGGTGTCGTCTGCTTGCCATCTCCGGGCGCCGGCACATAGAAGAGGTCCAATCCCAGCACTCTGTTTGGCTGGTATGCCCTAGGAATTGCTGTAGGTCGAGGTGCCTTCGGATGCCGCTTTGCCTCACAGATGTCGCAGCGGAACCCCTTGGATGCCCATTGCACGAGTTCTCCTCGTACTCGGGCAGCTCGGAGAAACCTGATGAATTCTCTCTGCTGTGGGTGTCCGACTGCTCGGTGGACCTTCATGATGGACTTCTTCTCCTCCTCCGTCGGCTCATAGTTTCCGGGGCCTTCATCGGCTCCGGGATCTGGTCCATCGTCTACCTCCTCCTCTTCTTCGTCTTCACCGCCATCCTCAAGTTCGTGGGCGTAGATGTCCTTGCCGTTGAGGTACTCGATGATTCCTCGGGCCACTGCCTGACAGAGTCTCTCTGGATAAACCTGTGCCAACTTGGGTCGTCCATTCTCTAGCGGCACATGGAAATGGGTCCGGTCGCACTTGACATTGAGCGCCTCCAGAACCGGTGGCATGTTGGACAACCACCTCGTCCTTTTTCTGTTCAAGCCTTGGCCATCCACATTCAGCCCGAACATACATTGATCGCACACCACAGTCTTGACGTCCCTTTGAGCTGCTAGTGACTGCAGCTGCGGATCCTGCCAGGAAGTTGCTCCTTCAGGGTGCTCGAACAGGATCGCTCCTCCTCGTCGCAGTTGCCACTTCATCACGGCAATCGCCAGGTGCAGGTGCTCTTTTCCTGTCTTCAGGAGGTGAACCTTCTTGGCTTGAGTCATCCTTCCCCAGTTCACCGCCTGCATCCTGCTGAATGCGGTACATAGGGGACAGGCCACAATGACCATGGGGCTCTCTTCTCTCAAGGCTTTCCACATTGCTTTGCGATCCGATGGGCAACTGAGATCCCATCCGGTTGCGAGGTCAAAGCTGGTGCCCGTGTCATAGCCCTTCCGGTTCATAGTAGATGCTACCCTGGGAGGACTGTAGAGCTCGGCTATCGTCTTCTTGAAGGTCTCTTCAGTCTTCTTGATGGCCTTAGTCCAAAACTGGCGGTTCTTCCTGGTGAGGTGAGTCGTCCGGGCATCTTCCCATTGGTCCTGAAAGTCTCCTCTTCTGCTGGCTCGGACTTGCACGTAGATCTCCGCACTCTCTTTGGGAATCTCCCCATGCTCTTCTTGCCAGCCTCCATCGACAGTCATCTTCCAAAACGTGCCATAGACCTCGAAGAACGGATCTTTTCCGCGTTGAGCCCTTCTAGCCCAGCGGTTGGCTCCCTGGGTGCAGCACTTCACCCATCGAACTCCTCCACATCCACCACCGGCACATTCTCCGCCCGGCTGCTGTGCACTGACACTCGGGCCCAACTCGTCGCCGGCGATGCCATGGCCACCATAGGAGCTGCCGCCGAGGCCTCCCTCTTCGGGCTCTTGGACCTCCGTGGATTCAGTGATGATGCCGCCGTCTTCACCTCGTCGATGTCCGCCTGGTCCTCCTCCGCAATCCACTCGAACATGTCGCACTTCCGCTGGACACATTTCCAGAACATGCGGCCTTTGCGAGGTCCCTCTTTCTTGACCACCAATGCCTCCGCAGGTTTGCCGCACTTGCACTCCTTGTGGACTTTGGGCGGTGGAGACCTCCTGGAGCTTGCCCTCGGATCCTGCGAGCCCTCCGGGTTCCGGGCGTTGATGAGCATCTGCATGAGCTTCTCCTGCCGAACTTCTTGCTCTCGATTGGCCACTGCCGTTCTCTTCACCTCCTCCGAGATCTGTTGTAGCTGGACGGCATTGAGTTGCGACAGGTGGATCGTGGTCGCGGCCTGCTCGTTTCGAAGCTGCTGCATCATGATCTGAACATGAGTGTCCAGCTGCGTCTGGAGGTCCTGCTTCATCGACATCAAAGATTCTTCCCCGGAGGATGGGGTGGCTATCAGGTGTTCGTCGATCATCCGGCCTTCGCTCCTTGTCGGCGTTCTCGGCACTATCGAACTTGTACCCGAAGCCTTCGGGGATGTAGGGTCCTCCGCCTTGTAAGTCACGCTCAAGGGGCCGTCCTTGATCTTCTTCCGGATGTCGGCGGACCGCTCTGAATGGGCCCACCTGGTGTGGCACGCTCGGCACACGATGTAAGAACTCGAGCCGTTGCCCCCACCTTTCAGCTGTGCTTTGGGGTGCACGCATGCACTCGCGGAAGTAGTGGGACCAACTTTGCTCTGCAGGGGCTTCAGCACCGGTGCATTGATGATCACCTCCGAGTAGTAGTCCTCGATGCTGGCCATAGATTTGCGCCCCGGCCGCTGCGAGTCCCAATCCAAACACCAGGCCTCTGTGGTGTCCTGTAGTGCTGCCAAGACCAGAAGGATGCCGATCTTGTCCAGCACGACGCGCCAATTCTTGAGTGGAACCTTGGAGTTCCACAGACGATGCCCGACTTCCATCGGCACCGGGTCCGTGGAAGGTGTTGCGCCCACCAATGCCTTTGCTTTCTGAAGGAGCGACGCCATGAGGTTGAGGTGAGCTGGAGGCGTCTTTGGGCAATCGATCGAATTGAAAAGCTGAGCAGTCTGATTGAGCCTGCATTGCTGAGGTCACGAAACACGATGACTCCAGCTCGAACTCGCTCTGAGAACCGGCTTCCGGCGGTACGATGAACTTTCCTTCGGCGAACGACATGACATTCACTGTGACATGGCCGCTGGTGAGCTCTCGAAGCGATAGCGAAATTCGATGACCTGGGAAGTGCAATACCATGTCGTTCAAATCAATGATGGCACCCAGAGCTTTGAGTAGCTTGATGGGAAGCAAAAGAGGTACGTCTCCTTGAACTACAGTGGTTTCCAAAACTCCATTGATGCCTCCAAGCCCAACGGGGATCAATGCTACCCCTTCGACCACTGCGTTGCCCCCTACACCTTTCGCAAAAGACCTTTTGGGGACCCACTTGACACGAAGACCGCGAGCCGCGAGTTCTCGTTCGAGACGAAGTAGTGGTTCTTTCCCAATCAAACCACCCTCGGCCGCGGTGTCCACTACGCCCTCTATTGCTTCCGTGGTGATCCCGCAAAAGTTCACCTTCCCCTCCTTGACCATACATGCCCGCTTCATGTATATCTCCGAGGAGTTGGCTGCCGGCTTCAGGTTCATCGGTACCCCTTGTCGGGCCCGGTTCTCCTTCACAAATTGACGCAGCCAAAAGTCTTGCTGCGCAGTGGAAAATTCTGGACTCTCAGGGTGTAGGCCCACGAAGAAGGTTCTGCTCTCTGCCTTGGCGGCTTGCGATGCTGCTGGATTCTGACATTCTCGTTCCCAATGTCCTACCTGGAGGCACCGTCGACATCGGGTGCGAAGCTTCAGTTGTTCAATGTGAACCTTGCGCTTGCCTTTGTTCTTGCCCTTCTGGAAGCCGTCCACCTTGCCTTTGCCCTTGCCCGGGAAGTAGCCTCGACTCAGGCGCTGATCTTTCAATGCCTGTCGGGTGTCATGATACGATGCAAGGGCCTGCAGGACGTCTTGTTCGTCCATCACTTCATCCAAATCGCCCTCCGCCAGGAAGACGTAGTTGTCGTCCTCGTCCTCCCAAGCCGGGTAGTCGTCGTTCTCCCCGTCGTAGTGGTTACCGGCCTGGTTCTCATGGGCGAAGGTCTCCTCCATGATGTAGCCCCCTTTGGACTTGTCCTTCTCACGAATGACCTTGTCCAGTCGCCGCAGGGCGACAGTGATGTCCCCGCAACCGTACTTGCCTTGAGCCCAGGTCAGAAGTCGTTGATCCTGAGCCTCATACCCGTCTGGAAGTCCATACTTTTTTCCCAGACGTCAGGGACATTTTATTATTATGATTTTTTCTCGCACCGAACCTCAGTCACAGGATTCCAAAAAAAACACCAAACAATTAAAGGACATGCAATTCCAATGTTGACGCAGGAAAAAAATAAGAGATATTGAAAAAACAAATCATTGGGAATTCCTAGAAGGATGGAATGGTTCAGCGCAGGATTTCATAACAGTTTCATTGCCTCTCCTGTAACAATAGAGTAAGGTCTGACCCAGGAATTTAATATGTTGGTTGGTCTAGAGTCTAGCAAGGATGCTTTTTTTGGAATCCTGTGCCGACGCAAGGCGAACCTCCGAAGTCGATCAACCGATCAACATGGTTGTTTGCACAAGATTTCTAAAAGCACACACTCAGAGATGGCCCGGAGAAGGGAAAAGAATGGGAGTGGATTTAGGGCCTCCAACCTACTAGCGATGGCCTCCACCTAGAAGCGTTCTTTGGAAAAATAACACAAAGAATGAGAGTGGCTTTGGTTCCGTTGTGAGGACAAGGAGGGCAGGGACACCCCTGAACCAGGACTTTAATATGCCAGGATGTTTGTTACACATGAGCTTCTTCAACCTCTGTACTAGGATTCCATAAAACAGGTTGACGCAGGATTCCATAAATGCTCAAAACCCTCAAGTTTTTTTTGGCTGCCAACCTTGGCACACAAAAAAATAAAGGAATGACCTCAGCCCGAAAGGATTTTATAAAATAAAATCCTGCGTCAAACCTTTAGCGTACCTTCGAACGGGTATAGCCTCACTCAATGAAGCCTGTCGGTACATGATGTACCCTTTGGCTCCATCCGGCAAATCCACACCCTCCTTCGCCAGGTTGGTGAATGCTCTTTCCATCCTCTTCGTGTATTCGGCGAAGGATTCTTTGCTTCCCCTGGGCTGGCCGTAGACGGCCGTTTCGAAGGCCCTGGGAAGGGATACTTCAAGGTGCGGCATGAAGAACTCCCTCAACTTACCCAACACATTCTTGACGCCGTCCTCGCAGGCAATCTCGGAGACCTCCAGGTCGTCGACCGCCGTGGAGGCCACTCCAGAAAGCTGGCGCAGCATCTTCACAGCGCGTTTGGCCTTCGGGACTTCGGTCTCGAATTCCCAGAGGGCAAGCTGTTTCTCGTATTGCCGGAAGGTAACTTCCGGGTTCTCGCCATCGTAGGCGGGTGGTGGATCTCGGTCTCGGGGGCCAAGATCTCGTCCGACTTGTCCTCCAGTGCTCGCAGCTGCAAAACCGCCTCGGCTTCTTCGGGTTTCGGACTCCTCCTCACTCATGGTCGTCTAGTTGCTCTGCCTTGGATCTTCCTGCCACGGCTCCGCGGTACCACTGATGTACCCACGGACCACGAAACCTAGCAAGCAGTCTTTTCCGGCATGGCGTGCAAAAAGTCGCCTAGAGTCAGGACAGGACTACGGCCCCTGGTGATTGGGCCGGCAAACCACGGAAAGGTTGGAATCAACAACGGTCGCATCAGCTTCTTCAGAACTACAGATATATATATATATACACTACCTGAATGAGGATACTCCTGACTGTCACTAGTACCCACTACTCCGAAGTCATCGGCGCTCAGTATATATATATATACATACAGTATTATCAGTATTCAAGTTTTGTTTGTAAAACTAGCTCGCCAAAATGGATGCATTCATTTGTGCGAAAGCTGGAGCCCCACTAAAGAAAAGGCCCTTTCATCCGAGCCAAGGTTGCGCTACAGGTGGTGGTTCATTTTGTGAACCCATGGATGGTTGGAGATGTCACACTCCTCCCTCTCATTCCTTATCTAGTTATTCACATGTCATTTCACTCGTTCATTTTTGGAAAAGGATCTGCATGGTTATGTCAAGGTCGGCACTTTCATGTGCGGATCATCCAGCTTGGCAGCCGTTGTGCCAGCTGGCAATTTCCCAACGCGTTTGTGCTTCTCGTTGTGCGTCTTGAAGCATGTGCGTCTCATACGGTCAGCTCCCGCCAATCGCGTACTTTGGCAGCTCACACACTGTAGTTCCCCAGAGTTCAGCGATTTCCCTGTGGTAGGGAAAGAACCTCTCCTGACTTGATCTCGGTTTTGGCTCGGGCTGGCTCGGTCTCGGCAGTGGCTTTGCTCATATGAGGAATCCAGGTGTCGCTTTGAGTCGGTCACGGCTCCATGAAGTCATCACTGGATTGAAGATGTTCAGGCTTAATAACCATGTTCATTCAAGTCCTACAGCGGCCTACTCCTAGACTTCATCCTTGCATACCTAAATAGCGTCCAGCCATGGCCCACGACAGATATCAAAAGAAGGTGATCAGTACACCCTGGAAGCACTGATCCCTCAGTATGATTGACCCTATACTAGTGGTGATGCGGAAAGGATTAGCATCTCGCTCCACATAGACGTTGAATGATTTTGACCAAGCTCCAGACAGAGGGGACTGAAACTATTTGCAGAGTGACACCATTAACATGTTTTTGATGTTTTAGGGCCTTGAAACTCTTGAAACCTGGAATGCCATACAACTCTTTGCACCCCAACCTCACATTACACAAGACACCTTCTCCCAACACATTCAAAAAACATTCCAGCTACAATTGCTCTCTAAGTGTCACTGAGCATTTTGCAAACATCTCCACACGCCACTTGGCGTTCTCCAAGAAGCGGTGGCAAACGGGACGCACGGTCATTTCCGATTTTCGCTCCCACTGTGGCACCTCAAAAGCTTTGGACAACAAACCGCTTGACCTCGGCCTGGCCGACAGGATGATCTCGTAGGCTTCAATGCAGTACCTCAGCACAGACTCACGGATGCGAAAAAAAAACAGCCTCACCACCAAATGGCGAGCGACACTCATACACCACACCCAGTGAACAGGAGCAACCAACGAACCAGACCTCCTTACCAAAACCTGGGCCACCTTCAACCTGGTTTAAATGTACAAGTGCACGTACACAGTGTGTGTGCAAAAGAAGGAACGGAATGAAACGCACGTCAGGAATGAACATAAAGAGGAAAAGAAGGTGTGTGTGTGTGTGTGTATATATGTGTAGGGGAATGAACCAAATGATGCCAAACTTCCGCTTTTAGCAACCTGGGGATAAAACGGTGACGCGCCGTATGTGCATATAAGTCCAGGACTGGCCCCAACGGACCGCTAATACTCGGGCCGCTTCGGCCACCTTACGCCACGTCCAAGGGACTGGCTACTCCGGCCGCTGCGGGCACCTCTTGGCATTAAGCCTGCTCAAGCATCACCAGGTCGGCAAGTCTTAATGAACGTTTGCTATAGCTGTAGGTTTGACGGACGGGGTCTGACATCCTGCAAGTAAAGGAAAGCCTCAATTCCTCCAAGTTCAAGTCACAACTGGAGTAAAGTTTTAAAGGTGCACGCGGCTCCAAGCTTCACGTCGAAGAGCGAACGACGACGCGTGCAAAGTCTGCAGGCCTGCCTCCACCTAACTAGCCTGAAATCTAGAGTGGGGCATGGCCACTTAACATCACAACCGCATCAAAGTGCAGGTGCAAGAGTTGGCGTCCCAACTCTCTTCCAACTGATTTCCGTAGCTTCGTTGGCACGGATAGGAAATTAGCCTACGTGCCCCTGCAAAAATAATCAAAGCTGAACGATCTCTATGAGTCCAAGTTGTACACACACACAGTCTCTCACCATTGACATCCAACCCCATTCAGCAATCCCACATTGGCCGCCACCACAAGCATCATCCTACGAAACGCACTTGGACGTCAGCGATCTCACCCAGCTTGTCACCATCTCTCTGGAATATTGCATATTCAGGAGCCGGGATCGGTTCACAGCTTTCCCCTCCTCATGCAACGTTGCCATCACTGTACAAGCACCACTTCTCCAAACATTACCATCACTACACTTGCTCAACCTGATTGCTTGGTATTTGTAGAACTTGAGCTGGTAGAAGATTCTCATTTGCTTGGACTCACCGTGGGCGTTGCCATGAGAGAGCTCCACTACGTTCGAGCTGCATAGCGTTCGGTGAGTCAGAGATCATGAACCCGAACCCAAAGGAAGTTACAGACTTCTTTAGTTTGGACTGGTATCTCGGTGCCATAAAGGTCGGAATCTGCCTACCCCTTAACGCATCGTGGACGACTCCATCCACACAACATGCGACGCACACAGGATTCACAGCAATGAAATGTCACCCGTTGCTCCGCCTTGGCCGAACACAGAAGCGATGACTTGTTTTTTCTTTCGGTGTGTGCGTGTGCTGGAGGCACGGCAGCCTGTGTGTATCAATATCAACCTTTGTTGCCAAGAGTCTTGCACTGTTTGCGCGCAGATTCTTTCGCAGGAGGACTGGAGCTGATTTGCCTATTCTGCCTTTCGGTGGATGAGTGGTTTTAGCAACCACCTGTACCGGTAAATTTGTTCCACTGCTCGCTTGCTAATATTTCACTCAGGTTGAAACAATACTGTTTTCCCGGACTCTTTGCCATAGTGTTTTTCACCAATGTCTATGATCATTTTTGATCCTGATCCTCCCAATTCCCTTCACACCCTATCTGCAAACTATAATCAACCACCACCAAAACAAATCTGGATTTCTGTGGGGATTCTGATTGTAGTATTGATCACTTTATAGATTGTAATTGTAATTATTAATGTTCTTTCTCAGGTTCTTGCTTGTTTAGGAGCAATCTTCACGTAAAGAATTGGTAAGAGAATTGGTGGCTTTGGGAAGCTGTCAGTTTTGAAGAAGGATTCGAGAAACCTGCAGTCATCAATGGTCTCGGCAAGCCAGTCATTGGCTTAGTGCTATTAAGATCGCAGAAAAAAGGCTTCTTATGGTTAAAAAAACCTTTCACTATTCAAGAACCACTTAAGGCAAATGTTTTTTTTCAGGGTTTGCAGCTTTTCTGGTCTACTACCTTGAACATTTTTTGAGATCAATTTTCACATAAAGGATGAATCAATGAAGGGGTTGCTTTGGGGAGCTGTCAGTTGGGAAGAAGAATTTGGGAAACCTATAGTTATCAATAGTCTCAGCAAGCCAGTCACTGGCTTAACTATATCAATATACCAGTAAAAGATTAGAGCGGATGTGCTTGAGAGAGCGCACACTAGCTCCAAATCGTTCAAAATCATTCTAAATACCATGCATCTTCCTGTACCCGATTTCTTTGTGCAATGTCAAGGGTAACACCAATGATAAGCCTTATAATTAGGCATTATCAGTTTGACTCTTCTTTGTTCAACATCAATAACTGCTTGGTCAGGGTTTAGGGTTTAGGGTTTAGGTTTGTATTCATGTGTTCTCAATATTGGTCAAACCTGTTTGGATTTGAATCTTGAACGCATTGTTATCAGATATGCAGACTTCAGCTTCAACACTCTCCCCTTACAAACTTTGCCTTGATCCGAAAGGACCTTTCTATTGTTTCATCAGGTTTTACATGTTACGGTTGGTTTTTTCACCATCTATGTTGTGATTGTGTAATAATGTTTCTAGTAGGCAAAAAATATCCAATAAACACCTGTTTAATCTGTATGAATTTGGCATTGGCTTGCACTTTGTCCAAGCCAAGAGAAACAAGAACCATGACAAGGCAACCAAAACGGATTATACTACTGTATGTGTATGTATATACACATATATATATATATGTAATGTTTATCAATCAATCTTCTTGTGCCTGGACTAGCTCCATACCTTGATAGAAAGAGCTAAGCCAAACAGAACAACTTGACCAAGAAAGAAGCCTTGTGAAGATTGCGTGAGGCAGCCTTCCTTTTTGGTGCTCAATGTCAAGGCATGATTGAACGTGTAGAGCAACTTAAGCAAGACAGATACGACCTTTGGGGGCCTCCAGGGCAATAGAAACACCTATGGAGACAGGACGCCAGCAGAAAAACTGGTTGTTTGGATAGAAGATGGTTGATGCTAGCTCGGTAGCTTATTTGTCATTGCGTTTCCTTATTTGAATCGGAATGCTGTTAAGACGGCAATGTCTAAACCAAGGAAAAAACAAAATAGCCTTTGTGAAGGTTGAAGCGGCTGTCTTTTAAATACATTTGAGGATAAATAAAAATTAAACACGACATACGAAGCTCTCCTGAAGCAATTGAACAGCCTTTTGAGACTGTGCCTAGGTTTTGAAATATGGTTTTGCTTCAATTGTTCAGACCAGGCCGACAAAGGGTTTAGAGGGAATACCACAAGACAAAAAGCACACACAAAAACAAATTCCTATCGTATCGTACAATAGTGTTAAATCATGTTGTTTCACACCTGGTTTTTGGGGTTATGTGTCTTTTTTGGTATGTAGTTGTTTTCTGTTGTTTCTTGAAAAACATTTTGGGTTTTCCTTCTAAACCTTTGTCGGCCTGGCCTGAACAGTTGAAGCCAAACGAAAGCTTAAAGCTTCGGTTTTTGTTAAGTGTCAGCCGCAAAAACACAGGAACACACACAGTGTTTTTGCGCATGTTCTGCGCAAAAACACCTCTCAAGAGCACCTGCTTTGTTCCTTTACTGGTGAAAGAAACGTTTCACAATTAAGAACCCTTAAAGCAATTTTTTTTTCTGACGATCTGGCGCCTTCCTGGTTTTCTACCTTGAAAATTTGTCTAGGAAAAAGATCTTCACGTGCGGGATTGATGAAGGAATTGGTGGCTTTGGGAAACTGTCACCTTTGAAGAACTACCGTAGATGGACGAAATATTCAAACCCTTTCAACCACGTGGACCCCTTCTACCCCAAAGCTCAATGTTAGAGGTCTTGCAAGAATGTTTCGGCGAATGGACGAAACAAATCAAACCCTGGAAACACAAATTCAATCAAGTTATGTTCAACATTGACCTTTGGGGGTCAGGGGTTGGCGACAGTTATTGATACATGGGTTTGAATATTTGGTCCATCTACTGTCTAAAGGTGTGACGTTTGCGTATTTTTGGCTCGTAAGTATCAAGTCTAACATCTTCATCCGTAGTACTCTGTGTTTTAATCTTCTGCGCTCAACAACACTTTCACATCGACACGTTGCGAGCGAGGACAGCAGACGTCAGGAAAGCAAGCCAGATGAAGAGCAGTTCCAGCTACTGTTCTTACTGTTGCCATGTGCCGTGTCTGTTCCCAGTGCCTTTCCAGTGCCTTTTCACGGTTTGTGTGCGCCTGCCAGTGATTTTGCCATGTGACTCACTTTTTGGCTAAAAAGAGATAGCTTATCTTTTTGTTTCAACAAAACTTACCAGAAACACTTTTTGGCTGGCAGGGCCACGAGAAAGTGCAAAAGGCACCGGAAAGGCACTGGGAACAGACACAGCACATGGCAACAGTAAGAACAGTAGCTGGAACCGCCCGGCATCACTTGAAAACAACACACGCATGTGAGGTCTCCGGTCGCCGTCCACACCCAGTACCGTAGATGGACGAAATATTCAAAACCTTTCAACCACGTGGACCCCTTCTACCCCAAAGCTCAATGTTAGAGGTCTTGCAAGAATGTTTCGGCGAATGGACGAAACAAATCAAACCCTGGAAACACAAATTCAATCAAGTTATGTTCAACATTGACCTTTGGGGGTCAGGGGTTGGCGACAGTTATTGATACATGGGTTTGAATATTTGGTCCATCTACTGTAGGGAAACCTATAACTATCAATGGTCTCAGCAAGCCTGTCATTGGCTGAGTAGTATTAAGGTTTCAGGATTTTTTGTTTTTGGTGGCAGGTTTTTAACACGTAAGAACGCTTGAAGCTAAGCAGATCTATCATTGAGGATCGGGGGCCTTCCAATGAGAATTTGTCTAGGAAAAACTCACATTGAGGAATGATGAAGGAATTGCTGGCTTTGGGAAGCTGTCAGCAAGCCAGTTATATCGCGGGACAGGTTTTTGCGCTGATGAAACGATTCGCTATTTAGAGCCTTAAAGAAATGTATGTTTGCGGGTCAAGGGCCTTCCTGGTCTACTACCTTGAAATCTTGTTTAGGAACCATCTTCGCATAAAGGTTTGATCAAGGAGTTGGTGGTTTTGCAAAGGTGTCAGTTTGGAAGAAGAACTACTAAGGAAGCCTTCTTTTATCAATAGCTTCAGCAAGCCAGTCACTGGCTTGGTAGTGAAAAAGTGTTGACAATTTAGAATCCTTAAGGCAAATTTTGTTATTGAGGAACAGGGGCCTTCCTGGTCCACTAAATGGAACATTTGATGAGGGACAATCTTCACATACAGGTATGATGAGTCTGGTGAGTATTTTATCAATATTACCCTGCTCGCCTGGGAAGATCGGAGGTTGCAGGTGGAAGGTGGACAGGGCTCAGAAGGATTTAAAACCCTATTGTTTCCAATTCGCAACAATTTTGATCTCCAAATAAGTTAGCGCTCAATTTCATCGGAAAAACAACAGTGGAGAAGAGGCGTTGGGTGTCAAGTTGGTCAATTTTGGCGATCGTATCAATGAGTTTCAATAATATGATGAGATTGGTGCACATTCAATCACCCCTCATAAATCAGTAAAAACGCTGGATTGAAATGGGTTGTTTTGCGTTCGCCGGACCCAGGCTAACTCTGAGAATCTTGAAAATAGTAAAAATGTAAATTACTTTACTTCGAGTGATCCCCACCATGACATTTCAATCATTTGACTTGATGCCATCGTGAGGAGCATGTTGCCATGGTCGTGAGTATTGTAGTTCTCGATTTTGCTTGTGGGTCCTCGGGTTGTGTGCTGCGGTTGTGTGTTGTGGTTGTGGTTGTGTGCTGTGTTGTGGTTGTGGTTGTGTTTGTGGTTGTGCGTTTGTGGCTGTGTGTTTGTGATTGTGTGTTTGTGGATGTGTTTGCGGTTGTGCTTGTGGCTGTACGTTTGTGGTTGTGTCTTTGTGATCATGTTGTTGTGGTTGCGTGTTTGTGGTTGTGTGTTTGTGGTTGTGTGTTTGTGGATGTGTTTGTGGTTGTGTTTGTAGTTGTGTGTTTATGGTTGTGTTTGTGGTTGTGTGTATATTTTTGTGTCTTTGTGGTTGCGTGTTTGTTGTTATGTTTGTGGTTGTGTGTGTGGTTGTGTTTGTGGTTGTGCGCTGTGGTTGTGTTTGTGATTGTGTTTGTGGTTGTGTGTTGTGGGTGTGTTGTGGTTGTGATTGTGCTTGTGATTGTGTATTTGTGATTGTGTGTTTCTGGTTGTGTTTGTGGTTGTGTGTTTGTGGTTGTGTGTTTGTGGTTGTGTGTGTGGTTGTGTTGTTGTGGTTGTGTGTTTGTGGTTGTGTTTGGTTGTGTTTGTTTATTGTTGTGTGATTGTGGGTGTGCGTTTGTTGTTATGTTTGTGGTGGTGTTTGTGGTTGTGTGTTTGTGGTTGTGTCTGTGGTTTTGTTGTTGTGGTTGTGTGTTTGTGGTTGAGTGTTTGTGGTTGTGTGTCTGTGGTTGTGTGCCGATTTTTGTGTCTTTGTGGGTGTGGGTTTGTTGTTATGTTTGTGGTTGTGTTTGTTGTTGTGTTTGTGGTTGTGGTTGTGGTTGTGTGTTTGTGGCTGTGTTTGTGGCTGTGTGCTTGTGGTTATGTGTTTGTCTTTGTGTGTTTGTGGTTGTGTTTGTGGTTGTGAGCTTGTGGTTGTGTTTGTGGTTGCGTGCTTGAAGCATACTATCTGCCGTTCAATCTGCCATTCTATCTGGTTATCTATTTGACATACTATCTGGCATACTGTCTGGCATTCTATCTGGCATTTTGTCTGGCATTCATATTTTCTGGCACTCTATCTGGCAATGTATCTAGCAATCTATCTGACACACTATTTGGCATACTATCTGGCATATCTTCTTGCAACATTCTATCTGGCAATCTACTTGGCATTCTATCTGGCATTTTATGTGGCAAACTATCTGGTTGAGGTCCAGCGGTGCACACTGCGATCGGATCCTTGCGGTTGAG